CCCCGCTCTGCTGAGCCTAGAACCCAGGGGAGGAAGTGGACACGCTAGCTTGAGTTTGGCCGTTAAAACAGAAGGAACATTGATCAACACAGGACCTACTTCGTTCCACAGCAGCTACACACAGTCACGACAATTTCTTACCTTTCTATGGTGGCTCATGTTTATAAACAGCTTTTCCATACTTCAATTGTCAACAGGAAACTGTCATTACCACGAGCTAAAAAGCATTTACTGAGCACCTGTTGCATGCAGAGGGTGCTGTGATAGGGAATATAGTTGTGACAAGAGAGATGGTAAGTGTTTGGGTGAAGGAAAAGGGACAAGATGGAGGAAGGTGAACAAGATGGAGCAGTCCCTGTTGTTTCCGGGTTCTTCATCACAGATTTTCCCGTGCCCGGGAAAAGAACCAAATCAACTGAGCATGCGCAGAATGACGTCAAGCCGGGGACACCGAAATTCAAGAAGCCACTCCTACACACACGCCCCAAACTCCTCCCCTTCCAGCTCCCAGGCAGGAGCCGGGGTGACTTCTTCGGCCCCCGCATTTGTGGACGGGAGAACATCACCCGAGAGCGCCGGCGCGACTTCCCTGGCCCCCCACACCTGAGGACCAGAGAACTTCGCCCGAGAGTGTGTGCATATTTGCAATAAAAGACTGCCACTTTCTTACGTACTTTGGCCTCATGTTTAATTACTTAGCTCTCCTAAATTAAGTTACATTAAATTAAATTAAATTAAAACAGTAAGTTATTTATCTCCCAAATTTAATGTTAGGTAAGAAATGGGAAGTGCAGAACACTAGGTATGGTAAATCTCTATTTGCATAAAAAAGGTATTATACAGGAAACATGCTCTCACCCGGCCAACAGAAAGGTGACTGTTTCTTCAGAGGCCTCACAGGATAGTGTTATCGGTGAAACAACCACAGCACAGGGCCTGGCCTTCATAAAAAGTAAAAAAATAGATGTATATATATTTTTATATGGCTTGGTGTCTTCAGGAGAATACACAAGAAACTGACTACTCTGGTTACCTTTGGGTGAATGGGATGAAAAGAAAACTTACTTTTCATTGTATTCTTTTGTACCTTTTGAATTGTGTACCACATACCTATATGAAAACGTAATAATGTATAATTAAAGCAAATGATGAGATTTTAAAATAGAGCATTGTTAGAAGCCACATAATCTGTAAGTAGAATATGTAATGTAGATATTTTTGTCTCTAAAAATGTTGTGGGCTGGGTGCAGTGGCTCATGCGTGTAATCCCAGCACTTTGGGAGGCCGAGGCGGGTGGATCACAAGGTCAGGAGTTTGAGAACAGCCCGGCCAACATGGTGAAACCCCATCTCTACTAAAAATACAAGATTTAGCCGGGCCTGGTGACGGGCGCCTGTAGTCCCAGCTACTCAGGAGGCTGAGGCAGGAGAATCACTTGAACCCAGGAGACAGAGGTTGCAGTGAGGTGAGATCGCACCACCGCACTCCAGCTCTGGGTGACAGAGCAAGACTCCGTCTCAGAAAGAAAACAAAAATGTTGTGGTTTGTGTCTTTTAGTAACTTTACTGGAGTCATTAACCAAAGCAAAACATGTAGGTATTTGCTTCCTCTCTGTCTGGGCCTCTGCCTTGGCCACTTGGACTTCCTAACAGCATGGCAGCTGGATTCCAAGAGTAAGTGTTCCAAGAGGCCTGGAAAGGAAGCTGCAGGGCTTCCTGTAATCTAGTTTCAGAAGACCTACACGGTCATGCGCACCACATTTTATTAGTCAAGTAAGTCACTAAGGCCAGCCTAGATTTAACAGAAGGCAAATTATGTGCACCTTTCAGTCTGAAAAGTTCCAAAGAGTTTGTGTCCATCCCTAATCCACCACACACAGAAGCAAAAGCAAGCATGCAAACAAACAAAACAGAGGACTAACATAGTGTTGCCAGGTTTTATTTTGACAAATAGAAATATTAAAAAGCAACACCAAAAAATGTTGTCATCCCCTACCACATTGTTACATCTGTTTCTTAAAAGTAAGTACTTTTCTTCCACCAAAAAAAGTAGAAAGGACATAGTTCCAGAACAAACGGCAGTTCTTTAAATAGAACAAATTTAGCTTAATGAAAAACTTGCTATGCTGTACTTATTTTTCTCATTTCAGACCAGGTAGAAAACTAGGTCATGGAGAAATTGTCCATTGGCAAACCACCAGGCGCAAGGCATGGGGACCTCCGCGGTGCAGAGCAGCAGTCCCCTACTGCTGGTTTGCATCCAGGCTCTCCATGAAACCTGTGTCCTGCTGGCTTCTGGGATTTACCTCCCTACTCAGCTCCCAGTTGCCAGGGAGGTGCCAATGGGCTTGTAGGCAGAAAGATCTGCCTGCTGTCTAGGTTTCCATGGCACCACACTGATGGGGATTTTTTTCTGGCATCGTCAGGCTTTCTGGCCCAGGTTGGGTTTCCTACACTGTGGCTTCTGCTCTGTGTAAGCCCAGAAGGCTGGGCTATTCTGGCTCTGCAGGTCTGGACAAGAATTAGTGATACCATGGGCCGGACACAATGGGAAGCCTGCCCAAGACCACCACCATTACCCGCCCTGAGCGTATCCAAATCACTGGGGGAGGCTTTCCAGCATCAGCCTCCACCTTCCTTGAATTCCTGGCACCTCTTCAGTATGAAGCCTAACAGGTCCCACAGTGGGAATGTCGTACTAGATCAACCAGCAACCTTCACTTGGTCCTCTGCGACCAAGTGTCGGGAGACCTCTAAGCCAAGCCACATTGTATTTCTATGCATCGCCCAGCGTAGCTGACTGAAGTTTTACCAGTGGAAGGGAATTGCCTGCTGACAATCAGCTACTCAGATGGCTGAGGATTAATTTTCTAAGTGTGTCTGACCTAGGAACATGGCAGACATCGGGAGCAGGAGTGGGTGCCAGCCGGGAGGCTCATACCCTCTGGGTCACGTCCTCTCTGCAAAGCCTCAGCATCTTGGGGAAGCACAGTCCTACTCCACTTTCCCTAAACATTTCTAAAATTATTTTAACATTTATTTATTTATTTATTTATTTATTTATTTATTTATTTTGAGATGCAGTATCGCTCCATCACCCAGGTTAGAGTGCAGTGGCACAATCTTGGCTCACCGCAACCTCCGCCTTCCGGGTTCAAATGATTCTCCTGCCTCAGCCTCCTGGGTAGCTGGGATTACAGGCATGTACCACCACACTCAGCTAATTTCTGTATTTTTAGTAGAGATGGCGTTTCACCATGTTGACCAGGCTGGTCTTGAACTCCTGATCTCAAGAGATCTGCCCATCTTGGCCTCCCAAAGTGCTGGGAGTACAGGTGTGAGCTGCTGTGCCCAGCCTATTTCTTAAATTCTTGATGCAGAGGGAGGAACTAGTGTCTACTGCTCACCCTACAACTTTTAGGTAAATAGTTGTCTCTTAGAGAAATGACCTCAAAATGGACTTTTGTTTATTAAAGTTATAATTGAATAAAAGGGCCAACTAGAAACAAGAGTTATGCATCTAGAAACCAGAGTCATGTATCTATGAGAGCATATCTCTTGGGTGTTTCCCCAACAGCCCTGATAGCAGACATCAGGAAGCAGGACAGGGTCACCTTCCCCATCTAGTGATGCATCTAAGAAGCCGGTCAGCCCAAGCAAGGGCAGGCATAAAGCCCTAGATTTACAGTGAGCACAAAGAGTCACCTCAGCAGCCCACAGAGCTCATCCTCTGTGACAGTCCTAATTAGAAACATTATACATAAGGAGAGGAAACAATTTACACAGACTCCAGCATGAGCTCATGGCAGTAGCTTGTTTGTTTTCCAGCTCCAGCCGCGAGGCTATAGACACACACCTCTGAAAAAATAATGCATATGTATTTTCAAGACTGATATTTTCAGATACTCCAGAAAAACATGGCAGTAGCGATGTGCTGTAGCAAAACCATCTCCATTGTGACTCCGTCTCTCCTTCGCCTTTTACCGCCCCTGTTGTCTGTCTTGGTGTTAGGATTTTGTTAGTAACTTAATATTTCAAAAAATAATTTACAACATGTTTCTTCTTTTCTGTTCTCACATAACCTTGGGATTTAAACATTTTTCCGTCTGCCTTTTGTTCCTTTCCACCGGGCGGCCCCTAGTAGTGTTTCCTGTGCTTAACGGAGCAGAAATTAGCGTGCATTTCTGTTTACCAGGGATGCTGCGCCTCGTGGAACAGTCACGCCGGCGTGTTACTGAGCATTTACATTCATACTACTTAACTGTTGCTAGGGGAGCCAGATAGAAAAAGACAAAGGGCATAAATCACAGCGTCTTGCTGATATTTTACCGTCAACACTCTTTCTCTTCGCTCTCATTTGGAGCAGGAGTTTTTTCTCTCTCTGTAGTCTCTTGGTCTGGAATTCCTCATCCTGGTTTCGGGAGATTCATAGAAGATGTCAACTGACCTTCTTTATAACCCACACCTTACTTATAACCCCCATATATCTCCTCCTTTTTTCTGCCCTCCTGCTCTGGTTTCCCTGTGTACTTACAACAGTTGGTGGGTAAGTTGTGGTCTGTGGTTCCACATCGCCTGGGTTTGAATCCCCACTCTAGTTGTGTGATATTGGGTTAGTTCCTTAGCTCCTCTGAGTGGGCTTCTTCCTCTGTAAGGTGGGGGATGTGCTTGTACCAGCCTCATGAGATTGTTACGAGCATTAAATGAGGCTCTGCATGTGAAGAGTCTAGTAGACAGTAGGGATTCAATAAGCCACGTTTTATTTTTGTCATCAGTAGTCTCGTGGCTGTCTTCAAACTTGTCCAACCCATGGTCCATGAGCCACATGTGGCCCAAGACAGCTTTGAAAGCAGCCCAACACAAATTTGTAAATTTTCTTAAAGCATTGAGATATTTTTGCAATTTTCTTTCTTAGCTCATCAGCTATCATTAGTGCTAGTGTATTTTATGTGTGGTGCAAGACAATTCTTCTTCCATTGTGGCCCAGGGAAGCCAAAAGATTGGACACCCCATGAGATCTTCTAGGCGACTGGCCCCAGTGAAATTGTGACCATGGAGGATAGTAGAGTCCCCGTAGCACACACAGGAGATGTTCCACAAACTCCATATGATCAGCACCATTTTCGGGAGGCCCCATGCTGTGCCGAACATCATGAATCAGTGAGGGTTTAGGAAGCACATCGACCTCCCAGTGTTTGGGAGTTGCTGTTTTAAGATGGCCCCATTTACCATTCTACTGCCTACATGAAGAGTGAAGACTAATCCGTGGACAGGATGCCTCTCCAGCCTAGCTGTGCTCCGCTCCCTCTTTCTCATCTACATCGAACCCTTTTCCTGTGGATTGAGATGAAAAGTCCTTGAAGACACCACCTCGTGCTGCTGGGTCAGTCTAGACAATATTTAAGTCACATCCATTAAGTTTTCCTTAAAGAAAATGTTTGAAATATTTCTTCCTTCAGTTTGATACTAAGGATATTTTGCCACAAGACACTTCCTGATGACCCAATTTCAGGTCTCCATTCTTTTATCTATGTGAGAATTCTCCACTTTCAGACTCTGCTTAATTTAACTCTCTCTGAAAATGTGCAAGTTCATAAAAGAAGGTAAAATAATTACCACAGTGCATACAAAGAGGTGAACATTGCTTTATATGTACAAATGGTGTGTTACCCCAAGTGGATTTCCTGGGCCCGCCTCCTCCTTCTGTCCCAGGAGCCTGACCCAGCTCTGGCACCCAATGAACTGCAGAGGTAGAGGGGTAAAGAAGAGCAGTTGAGTGGCTCAGATTGTTGCCTGAACTCCGGACCGAGGAGCAATCACGAGTAACCCCAGAAACTGTCCATTGGTTTGCGCACTCATGGCATGAAAAGAAGTTCCGTTCTTTTGTGCTGTCCTGGAACATCAGCCAGCTCTTAAGTCACGTTGCCCGGATTCATGTGCTCCTGCAATGAAAGGCCCTATTGTCAACAAGGCTGGTCAACAAGGCAAAGCAAAGTTTGCCCCATGCATTAAAACCTGGAACATCCTGACTTGTTACGTGCTGAGAAATGTGTGCTTGGTATTGTATTAAAGTAAATGAGGAGGGGCAGTGTCTTTAAAAATACCCAAAGCAAAGAAAAATAGATACTATCTGCTCAATGTCCCAGAGTAGAGGCTTTTAAAATGACCTGAGAAATAGGTTTATTGCTTTCATTGCTTCCTTCCTTCTTCTTCCTCCTTCTCTGACATTTGCCCTCCTCTCTAAAAACTTCCCCTCATGGTGGCCCCAGGCTCCTGTCAGGAAGTCTCGCCCACTGGGTGGTTGAACAAGCAAAGCGACTGTTCAAAGGATTCAGATAACATGGACGAAAAACACATGGAAAAGCTGATACTGAGTTCCATTGGGTTTGGAGTGGTTCTTGTGGGCAACGGATGCAGTGAGCTGAAACATACATTAAAAATACAAACCCTTAAGATCTGACTGGGTAAGACTTAAGCCCAGTATCTTTCAGAGATGGATGGCTAGGTGCAATACCCAGATCTTAGCTCTGCCTGAGTGTACCAGTGAACCTGCCCAGGTTTTAGTTTCCTTTTCTATAAAATGATAGCTTGGTTCTGATGATCTTCAGGCTCCCTTGGGAGGTCCTTGAGGCTTCAGCTCAAACCCTGGCTCTGCTATCTACCTCTTCTTGGTGCTGAGATTCCATAATATCCTTCAATCACTGTGGGACTGACTTAGTAGCAGGCATCAGAGGGAATGGAAGCCTCTACATTATCAATGCAGAAATTGAGGCAAGAGGCCAACATTATTGCACAAAACATGGCAGATGTTGGAATGAAGAAGACGGTGAGACACAGGCAGCAACAGAGCCTCCTTCATCTCTGACACAAAAGAGTCTTGACTTGAAGTTCCCCAAGCCCCTTCTTTTCTCCCAGGAGCTCAATGCTTTCAAAGCGACTTCAATCTCAAGTTGGGAGATGTGGCCCAGTTCAGGGTCTGCCACAGACTCAGGCACCGTCCCTTCTCCCATCTCAGTTTCTTCACTGGCAAATGGAAGGTATGAAATTAGATGATTTTTAAAGCCCAGCTCAGAGCTAACATCCAGAATTCCAGGAATTCCAGGAAATGCGCACTAAAACTAAGATTCTGAAACAAGTGAAAAAACAGACTAAATACTCAAATCAACTATTTTCAGACATTGGAGCACAGGTGGCACAGGACAGTGATTCCCGAATGGAAACAAGTGAGGTGAGTCCTATTTGCCCCAGCTTGCTGCCTGGAGAGACTTTCCAGGCCATGGCACAGGGACACAGAGTACAGGTGGAGCACAGCCATATCCCTGTGTAGAGGGATGGGGCTGGGGTCCCAGGGACACTCGTGCACCTAGAACTCACAGGAGAGAATACTGGAGAGAAGAAAGCTGCACACGGAGAGAACTCTGGAGCTCTGCAGAGTGTCATCTTTGGGTCTGCAGCAAAGTATTGATCAGCACATGCATGTGAGGAAAAGAAATGAGGCCAGAAAAAGCATCACCCAAAAAAGTTAGAGGGAACAATTCCTGGAGCTCCCACCAGCCAGAGAATAGCCCCTGTGGCCACCAGCCACAGTTGAAAACTTTCTAATTCATGGGGCACTGAGTAGAACACTCTGAGGATTGTCTCAGTAATGCAGCCCAATTCAGCTTACTCTAAAGGCTCCTGTGGCCCACTCCTAACAAGGCTTAAAAGCAAGTCTTGGCTGGCACGGTGGTGCGTGCCTGTAGTCCCAGCTACCCAGGAGCGTGAGGGCTGGGGCAGGATGATTGTTCAAGCCAGGAGTTCAAGACCAGCCTGGGCAATATAGTGAGACTCTGTATCTTTTTTTTTTTTTTTTAACAAAAAGGCCGGGCACGGTGGCTCAACCCTGTAATCCCAGCACTTTGGGAGGCCGAGGTGGGTGAGGTCAGGAGTTCGAGACAAGCCTGACTGACATGGAGAAACCCCATCTCTACTAAAAATACAAAACTAGCCAGGAGTGGTGGCACATGCCAGTAATCCCAGCTACTCGGGAGGCTGAAGCAGGAGAATCACTTGAACCCGGGAGGCACAGGCTGCAGTGAACAGAGATCGCGCATTGCTCTCCAGCCTGGGCAACAAGAGCGAAACTCCGTCAAAACAAACAAACAAAAAAAAACAAGCCATGGAAGGATCAAACTGTTTTCAAGTAAATTAACTGTGTAACTGTGTCCTGGAACAACACTCAAAAGTTTTTTTGTGTATTTGTTTGTTTTGTAAAGAATATCCAGGCCAGGCACGGTGGCTCACACCTATAATCCCAGCACTTTGGGAGACTGAGGAAGGTGGGTCACTTGAGGTCAGGAGTCTGAGACCAGCCTGGCCTCAAACATGGTGAAACTCTGTCTCTTCTAAAAATACCAAAATTAGCTGGGTGTGGTCAGGGGGTGCCTGTAGTCCCAGCTACTAAGGAGGCTGAGGCAGGAGAATCATTTGAACCCGGGAGGTCGAGGTTATAGTGAGCCGAGACTGTGCCACTGCACTCCAGGCTGGGTGACAAAGTGAGACTCCGTCTCAAAAAAATAAAAATAAAAAGAATATCTAGCACTCAGTAAGGTAAAATTCAAGCAAGAGAAACATGAAGAAAATTATACCAAGGCATATCATAATCAAATTGCTCAATACCAGTGATAAAGAAAAAATCTTAAAATTAACCACAGGAAAAAAATTATGTTAGAAACAGGAGAACAAAGATAAGGATGGCAGCAGAGTTCATGTCAGAAGCAAAGCAAGTGCGAAGACAGAGGAACAATAATCTTTAAAGTAATCAGAGAAATACATTGTCAACCTAGAATTCTACTTTTTTTTTTTTTGGTCTTTCACATGAAATGGCCACTAACCTAAAATTCTATACCCAGCAAAAATGTCTTTCAAAAACAAATGCAAAAGACTGTTCAAACATACAAAAGTAAAAAAAAAGACCCCCCTGAGGACCTGTACGATAAGAAATGTTAAGGGGTGTCCTTCAAGCAGAAGGACAATGATACCAGATAAAAATCTGGCTCTACACAAAGAATGAAGAGCTCTGGAAGTGGAACTTCAACTACTCTAAACATGCAACAAGCTATGAATGGAGACCCTTTCTGTGGAGGCTTCCAGGACCCAAGAGTGAGGACAGAGAAGTACTCTGCCTGAGCTGACACCCACCAGAGCTGAGAACCAAGGATTCCTAAGAGGTGACATATGTGGCTGTGTTACTGCCAACTCCACCTTCTACCCAGTAAGACTGGGGAGGAGGGAGAGAGAGAAGTAAGTCTAAGGGTCGCCAGAGCGCAGGATGTGTGAGGAGTGGAGACTTGCTGCCCTTCCTGCGGTTATGGGTAATGGGGTGGCTGTGCTTTCTCCCTAGTAAGGTTCTAAGAAAATGATTCCACAAATATTGGGATGTAAAGTAGCTGCGCATTGGACATTTGATTAGGAAAAGGATTTTCTGGCTTATTCATACATCATTAGCGATAGAGGAGGGTTTTGGAGAAAAAGGAAAGGGCGGAAAGAAGAGCTGCAGGGGCAGTCTGAACTCACCCAGTTGGTCAGGGCCAGAAAATGCATTTCCTGCGGTTCAAGTGGATACTACTTAGAAGGTGGCTGGATTTGTTCTATCGCTACCCCAACAGGGTTCTCTCTCTATTTACCGGGGAGCTTGAGCTGAGAGAGTCCGTAGAGTGCATATTCAGTCATGGGAGTTGAGGGGCATGGAGGTGGCTGAGCCTGGATTTACCATATCCCTGCCCTGCAAGTCTCTCTAAAGGAACCCAGATGTCTTCCAGAGAAAGCTAGCATGTTGATGCCTGCCTCACAGCCAGTCCCAGTGCGCCACCACTAGAGAGAAGGCTACCGCTGCCCTGTTAGTTTACGACCCTCTGCCCTTTCTTTGTCCTACCTCTCAGCCCAGTGCCCTAGAGGAACTAGTTCCCAAAAGGAAAAGCGAGAGTAGGGGAGTGTCCCAGAAATAGAACTCCCTCATTCAGGGTCCAGGTCCAAGCTTGCACTGGACTGGGGGAGGACAGTGGCGCCGGGAGATGAGGTGAGAGTAGAATCAAGTTTGGAATTGATGTTTTAAAGTGGACTGAGGGTTAATACACGAAAACAACGGTAGAATTTTGGACCCGCCCAAGATGTAATTAAGAGATCTGCTACCCACTGGAAAAGGTTGAGCACATTTGAAAGCGTTTCAGAAAATGAAAAAGACTTTTCTGTCTTTAAGAAAACAAACAAAAAAACAAAACAAAAGAACCAAAAATACTGTCTTTCCCCAACAGGCACAATTACATTTGTAAAGATGGTTCCCAGCAGATGGTGAGGTGCTAATGAGTCCCGTGAGGCGCTCAGGAGAAAACTCACCTTCACCACCTTGCTCCTGGTGACTCCCAGCACACCTGGTCCAGCCTTTCCTCTGCAGCTGTTCTTCAGTGTATGGCTTGTCTGCCTGGAAGGAAAACTGGAGAGGGTGAGCTGATCCAGGGAGCAAAGGCTTCATGTGCCCTCTGGCCTTTTTCAGCAGGGTTAGCAGGGTGGGGCCCTGGGCCCACTCTCAGGTTTGGGGCCATCACTAGGTCCTGGCAGCTGCAGTCCAGTCTGGCCCACAGGAGGCCACAGGTGGTGGCTAGGCCTGAGGAGAAGGTGGAATGTGGGTACCCCACATGGCTCTCCCGGGAAGGGCCCTTGGCAACATCCGCAGCAGCTGGGCTCCACCCCAGTTGCAGCCTTGACATTTGGTTATTTTCTATTCTTTTTACTCTTCAAATAATACATGTTCTTTATAGAATCAGTTAGAATGCACAAATAAGCAAATAAATAAACAAATACTTCTCATAATCTCAGCACCAAACAGCCACTGTTAATAACATTTTTGTGAATTTCCTCTGAGATTGGGTGAGTGTATGAAATATACACACACACACACACACACACAAGCAAAATGGATTAATATTCCATACACATACGTGGGACATTCATATTGTTTACAACTTTCTGTTATCCTAACTAAATAAGGTGTGATGAACACCTTTACTCTTAATTTTTTGTGCATATGCCTTATAATTCCTTTGAATAACTTCCCAAAAGGAAGCTATACCAGGGAAGTTGTTTTTAAAGTCTAGTAGCTGAATTTCTAGCAAGTACTGGTGGAGGAGGAGGACCTGGAGAAGGGGGTGGGGGCATGGGGGGAGCTGGGCCTCAGGGGAGGCTCGGGAAGCTGCCCCTCTCCTTTGCCTCCTTCGGTTTCCCTGTTTAATCCTTCCCTCCTTCCTCAGGCTCCTCTTCCCCTGGTCTTCTCTCTCATCCTTTAATTCCTTCACCTTTTGCCCCTTCTGCCATTTCAACTCCGGATTTTTCCTCCAGTGCTCAAACCTCATTCTGTTCCAGGGATTTGAATGTCCCTCACTGCTTGGTCTGCCTTCCTACCCCCGTCCCCACCAGGTTCCCTGTGGAGACCACGTGGTGGCAGCGTGGGCTTCCTGCCCTCTCAGGTTTGTGACCTGCAGGGAAGAGGGAGGGTCTTTTCTAGTGGCTCCCGCAATGCCCTAAGGACTCTCTGATTGGCTTGGCATAGATCACATGCCCACCTCTGAACCAATGACTATGCCCGATGTTCACCGCGGCCTCATCTGGGCCACCTGCTGGAGCCCTGGAGTTGGGGTGAAGCCTCACCCAGCCCACAGGAACTAAAAGTGGGGCAGAGGAGCGTCCTTGGATGAAGGTCAAGCTCTGTTCTGGGAAGAGTGGAAATATCCTTGGGACATTAATCTCCCATAGACAGTGAAACGCTGCTTGCCTATGGGAGGATATGATAAACGTGAAGATTTTGCTTTTAAATGTAAAAATTGTCAGTGTCATACCTAAGAAATGATGGGAAATAATATTAAATATTTAAGAGTGTTAAAATAGATCAACTGCAAACGTGTGTTCCCAGGACACAAATCTGAAGGGCATACATTAACTTATAGACGGGTTATTTTTCTTTAAAGAAAAATCCCTCATGTGTCTTATATATACAAAAGGGATTCATAAGGAAGGACTACCTAGTCTCCCTTTTCACCCCAAATTTACAGCGTTAAAAATAATTTTATGGCTGGGCATGGTGGCTCACACCTGTAATCCCAGCACTTTGGGAGGCCAAGGCAGGGGGTAGATCACTTGAGGTCAAGAGTTCGAGGCCAACATGGTAAAACCTTGTCTTTACTAAAATGCAAAAATTAACTGGGCTTGGTGGAGCACGCCTGTAATCCTAGCTACCCAGGAGGCTGAGGCAGGAGAATCACTTGAAACTGGGAGGCAGAGGTTGCAGTGAGCCAAGATTGTGCCACTGCACTCCAGCATGGGCGACAGAGTGAGTGGGACTCCATCTCAAAAAAATAAAATAAATAGATAGATAAATAAATAAATAAGTTTACTATTAACTGAAAATCTTTTCAGTGCCAGATCTTGAGTTAGGCTCTTGATGTGTTATTATTTTTAATCCTTACAACAACTCTACAAAGCAATCTTAGTACTCTTCATTTACAAAGGAGGAAAAAGAGGCTGAGAGATTATATAACCTTCCAACAGCGACAGCACTAGTAATACCCACCAAGTGGTCAAGCCCAGGTTGTATGTACCAGAATGCCCTTCTTGGCTGAGAAAACCTAAAATTCCCTAACTTGTGTTTGGCTGAATTTCTGAGGGCTTTGAGTGCCCACAGTGCTCCTGCTGCTTCAAAAGCTGCAGCTTCAGCTGCTTTTGAACATCTTAGTGACTGCAGGGACAGAAATAGCACTAAGTGGAAAAAGGATCCAAAAGAAGAATCTAAAACTTCAGCTATTATATAGACACAAAGATATACTACTTAGGTCTTTCCAAATGGATGAAATGATGCCATACCTAGGTTTTCCAAAGAATTCATTCCTTTTGGTATGGCTGAACTGGTGAGGATTCTTAAGGAAGGACTAACTAGTCTCCCTTTTCACCCCAAATTTACAGTGTTAAAAATAATTTTACAGCCAGGCATGGTGGCTCACACCTGTAATCCCAGCACTTTGGGATGCCGAGGCAGGAGGATCACTTGAGGTCAGGAGTGTGAGACCAGCCTGGCCAACATGGTGGGGGCTTCTTAAAAGCATTCTGATGCCATCTCCTGGTAAAGCCAAGGGCTTGGGAACTGAAATGTACAAGAAATAAACATGCAGTGAAACACCTGAGAGTCTGTTCTCTTTGTGCCTCCCGTCATTTCTGCAGGCTGAAGTTTCCATTTAATTTTTGCATCACATTTTTAGCACTATTGGACATCCTGGAAATCTCATTCACAAGATTTCAAGTTTGAAGTGATAGTGTTCGCTATCAGAGCCCCTTTTATGTCAAAGAAATTAGAAGCAGGAAGGTTGATGCATTCCCCCACAGGTGAGTCACCAAGAAAATGTTTGAGTCTTCAAAAGGCGATGGTTCCACTCTTAGCTGGTGAATTCCATGAGCATACAAAGCTCTGTTTGTAACCCTGTCAGATAAGAAGAATCTGGGGCGTGTTTTTTATTTGGTACAGGAAATAAGAGGTGGATGATTCCAGTTTGTGGAATTTGACAGTCTGCTGTTCAGTCAGTAGCTCTTATTTTGTTATGCTTATTTTAACAGAAAAGAGGTCTTTTAGAATAATATGAAACTCACACTCTGCATGGGGACAGGTAAGGAGGGAAGCGTGGGATGTGTGCAGAGAAAAAGCAGCGTGTCTGTTTGCAGCAAAGGAAATGTGGCATGGGGTGGAGGGACAGGGCCACCTCAGGGAGCACTGAGAGCTCAGCTATGGAGTTTAGGCTTTCTTCTCAAAGTAGTGGGAGTTAATGAAGGTTTTTGACTAGATGTATCAGAATTGTGTTTTCTGTTTTTTTGTCTGTCTGTTTATTTGAGACAGAGTCTCTCTCAGTTGCCCAGGCTGGAGTGCGGTGGTACGATCTCAGCTTCCTGGGCTCAAGCCATCCATCCTCCCACCCCAGCCTCCTGAGTAGCTGGGGTCACAGGTGCATGCCACCAAGCCTGGCTTATTTTTGTGTGTATATATATATATTTGTAGAAAAGGGGGTTTCTCCATGTTGCCCAGGCTGCTCTCGAGCTCATGGGCTCAAGTGATTCATCCACCTCAGCCTCCCAAAGTGCTGGGGTTGTAGGCGTGAGCCACCGTGCCTGGCCAGAACTGTGTTTTAGGGAGAATAATTTATTCACAATATAGGAAATAGAACAGAACAGAGGGTGGAGGGAGGCAAGCCTGTGAGATGTCTACTATAGAGTCCCAGGCTGACACTGGAAGGCAGGCGTTAGCATCAAGGGTCAGAATGGAAAAGATGTCAGGAGGGAGAAGCTACTGTAGAGATGGAAGTTACGGGTCAGAGTGGATAACGAAGGAAAAGATGGTGCTGCACTGGGTGATTGCATGGGTGGTGGTGCTGTGTACAGATTGGGATGAACATGGAGGAAGCACAAGTGTTGAAAGAGGGGATCATGGGTCCACTTTTGAACGTACTGAGTTTGAGGTGTCAGTAGGACATTTGTGTAGGGATGTGAAGAAGAAAGTTGGAAATACGAGTGTGGATACAGAGACAAGTTCAGGCTTCAGTGGGACTCAGACAAGTCCAGGCAGATGAGGAGGAAAGGGGCTAGAGAAATGGTAGAGAAAGGAGAGAACAGAGATCTGGGAAGCTGAGGGAGGAGTTTTAAGAAAAAGGTGGGCCATGCGCGGTGGCTGTAATCTCAACACTTTGGGAGACCAAGGCAGGAGGATCACTTGAGGCCAGGAGTTCAAGACCAGCCTGAGCAAGATACTGAGTTCCCATTTCTACAAAAAAAGAAAAAAAAAAAAGTTATCTGGGGCGGTGGTGTATGCCTGTAGTGCCAGCTACTCAGGAGACTGAGGCAAGAGGTTTGCTTGAGCCCAGGAGGTCCAGGCTGCAGTAAGCCATCACACCACTGCACTCCAGCTTGGGTGACAGAATGAGACTTTGTCTCAGGAAAAAAAAAAAAAAGAGTGGTGTGGTTAGCAGTATCTGATTTGGTAGAGGGATGAGAAGGTTGAGGATAGACGCTGGTAGACTTTGGCTTTTACCCTCATCCCTGTCCAGTAAGAGTTCTCAAATTGCAAAGCATTTAAAAGTGAGTGGGAATCATTAAGGGAACCATACATTTCAAAATGATTAAAATGGAAAATTTTATGTTATATTTTGCTACAAAAGAGTAAATGAGAGAAAAATGTTAACATCTAAAAAAATCATATTGTTCTCTACATGTTTCTCTTTGCTTGAAACATAATAAATTGCCTTGAAAAGTAAGTGGTAGGTCAAAAACAGAAGTATTGATACAAACCACACTTTGGAGAAATGTGATAGCTAAGTGAAGGAGGGAGAGCATGAGTGACTCAGCTTAATGGGTAACAGGAAAGAAAGAACTTGTTTTTTGTTTGTTTTGATG